ATTGTTGAAAATACACCCATCCGGGTGCATAAGGCTACTACTGACTTGAATTCTCCCCCCCCCACCCCCAACAGAGGAAATAGAGCATACTTATGTGTCATTAGAAGAAGTTCATCGGATATTAGGTGAGCTCAACGGAAATACGTCTCCAGAGCCCGATCGAGTCCACCCGGCAATCGTAAAACCACTCACGGATATAGTAACGGGACCACTAAGGTATGTATACGAATCCAGCTTAGATCAGGGCAAGCTACCGAGGGACTGAAAAACAGCTGCGTTGTTGCCATTCATAAAGTAGGAGCACAATCCCAGATTAGGAATTACAGGCCAATGAACCTAACGAGTATATTGCGCAAGTGCATACAAAGGATAGTGAGGATGTACATTGCACAGCATTTAATCCAAAACTTGCTGCTTACCGATCAACAGCACGGGTTTACCAAGGGTAGATCTTGCTTATCTAACTGAGTGTGTTTTTCAGATGAGGTAACCTCGAGATTAGATGAGGGCAAAGCTGTGGAAGTCTGTTATTCAGACTTCTGCAGAGCTTTTGTTTCCTTCAATCCGAGGTTGCTATTAGCTAAGGTCAAACACAAGGGAATAGGCGGTAAGATACCTAACTGCATCATAGGATTCCTGACCGGTGGCACGTTTTACGAGAGAATTGAAGACAAAGTATCGGCCAAAGCCATACTCACTATTGGAGTACCACAAGGCTCAGTGCTTGGTCCCCTACTGTTCCTCATTTTTATAGACTACTTGGTTGCTATCCTACGTTTACCGTGCTTCATCTTTTCAGACGATGTCAAGATACTGGTATCAACCAGTCGGCAGCAATTGCAGGATGACGTTCATAGAGCAACGGAATGAGCAACAGTATGGGATCTCTCAAAGAAAAGTATTTTACTTTCCCGTCCTGATGTACAACTGTTAATCCAAATAGGTAATGGGGAGTTCACCGCAGGGATTGTAAAAACCAGCAGATATTTAGAAATATCGGTGGTGGCGGATTTCCTCTGGGAGAACCAGTGTGCATTGGCTGCGGCGAGGGCGAAGAGAGATCTGTTCAGATCTGTTCAATTCACTAATATTGTGTAGAAAACCCGACGTATTCCTCTCCCTGTACAAAGCCATAGTTAGGCCGTATCTGGAGTGTCGCATGCAGGCTTGGGCACTCTTCTTCAAAGAGGATGCAGCTTGTTTAGAGAAAGTCCAAAGACTAGCCACCCGAATGATTGAGAGTCAAAAGGGTAATTCATACCAAGACAGGCTAATAGACTTGGGACGCTTCTGGCAAGAAAGGAGAAGATTAAGGGGGAACTTACAGGAGACCTTTGAGATTGTGAAGGGGCTCTCAGGAGTAAGGAAAGAGAGCATGTTCCAAGAGGCTATCCACCAAGGAACTAGAGGAAAAGGATACAAACTACATAAGCAGCAATGTAAATTGGTTGGAACAGTAGGAACCGGTTGCCAAGGGAATTAGTAGATTAAGGAAGCGTGTGTGTGCATTTAAGCTCGCTCTGGATGAGCGATGACTGAAATTCTTCCCAGAATAGGATCTTCAATGTACTATTGAACGCCCTCCTGACCCATGTTCCTGGTTCGCCGATGAGGTGAAGGGAGACGAGCATCTTCCTTTTATTTTCAGCAAGGAAGCCGTACTCAAGGCAATTCGCAGTGGTGGGTGCACACTTTGTGAGCACACTGCAGGAGGAATCTGGACGCTTGATTGTCAGTCCTGTGCACATTAACCTGATCTTCATGTACAAAAGGCAAGGGGCCGCGCCCCGTATGAGCCTCTTCATCGACGGTACCGATAACAACCCGCTCAGCTGTCTGCAAGTTGCCACCGTCTCCCCAAGTGCTCATCGAGGCGTTGATTGAATCGCTCATCATTCTACACCTCGGCTTCTTCTGACGGGAGTGAATTCCACAGTAGTCGCCTTTCGAGAAAGATGGTAAACCAAAGGAAGACCCGTCAACTCCAGCTTCCGCAGAATGAGCCCGTGGCCGCGGGTTCGGTTGCAGTTTTGTAGTGGAAACAGCACGCAGTTCCGGTTCCAGATCGTCCCGAAGAATCTTCCAAAGACAGATCAAATCCCCGACTGGTCTCGTGTAGCTAACCGGGAAGAGTTCAAGTGCTTGGAGCCGACCTTCACAGCTGATCCCACGAATTCGCGCAACTATTCGAGTGGTGTGGCGCTGTACTCGTTCCATGTTGGTCATTTCGTGATTAAGTGATTTCTAATTTGTGCGCAAAATGTGCTGANNNNGCGAGATAGTAGATCCATGTGAAAATATAGGGGTCATGGGGGACTAGAGACGAGAAAGTTGTCCGCCTTTGGGCGGAAAACTACAAACGGGATGTTCTTCAGTGTAGATCATTGTAGCCGTCTGTTAGCGCGCTATTCTCTGACTAATGGGCTTCATATGCGCTGTAAGTTGGGTGTCGTAGCTCATTTGTAGCTCTAATTTAACCGGCTGTTATTATGATATTAACCAACGACGTGCTACCTGGATCAGTGTTCAGGTCAGTAACAACAGCTTGTCAGGTCGTTCAGTTGCTTCCACCGGTGAGATCTAAGGATCTCTCAGTGCTGCGACAATATAATGAAGGGATTAATCTTTATTGTTATACACGGAGAGGAGCGACTAGGAGAGATCCCCAAGCCACAGCATCCCACTCCGTGGTTGTTTGTGCAGTGCAGTGTTGCACACTGGCCCCTTCGACGAAAGTCACACCAAGAACCTCGAAGTTCATCAGGATGAAAGACACTAGATGGGTACCACTTGAAACACTTTCTTTTATGAATCCTAACGGTATTTTCATCCCAGATGCATGCAAATATTTCCAGGATTTATACAGGGGGTAATATACTAAAGTACTTAGGAAAAAATGACCTGAACGGCAGGATTCACAATTTGCTACGGGGCGAATGTCAAGGAACATGGCAAGTTGCGGTGTAGCGCAGTTAGCGCGTAGTATGGGAGGACAATCTGGGGCTAATTAGAGAGGTGAGGAGAGAACGCTGAAGATGGGGATAGATGGGCCATTGGAATAAAGAGTGTCTGGGAGGGAGACGGGTTTCAGGGGCTTGACACGTTTTCTCTCCTCAGCAAAACAAGCTACCTTATACTTTGTCCGAAGGATAGTTGAATTCAGCCACTGCGATGGCTACTATTGCTGTTTGGTAGTTTTTTCCAATCATTCACGACTCAAACTGGAAAGGATGTCGCCCTCAGTCGCTAAGGTGCAACACCTCTAATCTCTTCTCATACCACAACTCTCTTATCTCTCCAAACTACCTTGTAAAGCGCCTTGAAACCTTATCTATTGCTTTGGCATCTCTGACCAAGAACGAGCTCCACACCTGAACACAGTATTCGAGGTGGCCGTTACTGCCTTCCAGGTTCTAGGCAAAAGTGGTTGCGAAGAACCCTCCCTACGGTTTCCTGTTTTCTTGGCTTGAGGATACCTGAGAGTAAATTCTAAGGGTTCTTCTGCTTCGATCCGACTTTTGGGGGCTCCCGAGATGCTCACTGCTCAGCTTGCCTCTGGCCTCTGACTGCCGGTACGCGATTGGGGCTAATTTGAGTCCAGGTTCTTGCACGGTGAGCGTATCGTTTGCCTACATGTGCTTCGACCACAGAGGATCTTTTGCGAGCCAAGTTTCGGACCCCTCATTGCCGACTTGGGCATCTTTCCGGTTCAGGTGCTACTTTTGCATCTGCTTCAGTAATGCTGAAAAGTAATGCCTACAGATAAAGAAAATAGGGAATGCCTACAATCCAGGTATGCATCTAGCTGAGCGGTTAGTGTGATGAGGCAATGCTATACCCTAGATGGTTTTCTAATCGTGCGGGGATTCGGATATACATAGCAGGGTAAGATAAGGCTGTAAAGAAGATGCAGGAATAAGCAATGAGTAAGTTAGAGTGAAAGGTATGGTATATGAGAGCATTTTGAGGGGTTCTCGTTTCAACAGGCGCAAAACTATGATCTGTAGTCCGACTTGCCCGAGTGCTCTTCTATTCATCCATGACTCCGCGTCTCCTGCGTTCACCTGTCAGCACAGACGTTTCAATATCAGGTCAGGACTAGCGGCTGATGCCAAACGAGTGTTCAGGTTCTTGCGCGTCCGAGCTCCAGTTTTCTCGATGCGCTTCGACAACTGGATTTCTCGCCTCACGTACAGGATTCTCTTTAATTTGATCCAGTAGGGGCCAATTAAACGTTCACCTGGAAAAGGCTGTGATGAGAATGTAGCATGAAAATGATCGAATCGAATCACCCTAGAGTACCCTTGAATACCTGCATCCATAGATGCACGTCGCTCTTTTCATAAGCCTCGACGTGCCTACATCTATAGTCCTGAATACGTTAAACATACATACTCACATTCAAACCCATGCTTGCAAATATACATGCGTCATAAATAGAGTACGTTAACCCCAATCGAGCCGCAAACTATACTGCTTAATTCTCACTCTGAGAGTTGAAGTCCGCGGTAGTGGACTAGCTTTTTATTTAGGGATGCATAGTAGTTGACCCGCTTAATCTGCGTTTTGTGCACTGTTGTTTATGCTATCAGTGGTCATTGACTGGGGTTCGTCTCGCATACAGTGGGTTAGAGATCTGGTTTTTCAGGCTGAATCAAATGGAGGTTGTCGGAGAAGTATTCACGGGACACTGGTGGCACAACAATGGAAGGAAAAATTCATACTTAGATCACCATTCGTCGTAGTGTAATAGAAGAGACTGACCGACAAGAGTGAGCCTCGGAACCGTGTACCCTTCGGTCGAGAGAGCTTCGGCCTACTCGGCAACACTCTTTAGCTAGGTGGGGAAAAGCTACCCCGTTGGCATTGCGCTCAGGAATCAGATGATACTTTGACCATCAGTTAATGCAAAAACACGTATCACTTTTAGGGACATTGTAGCGTGTGCCTTGCTGTTCACTCATATGAACCGATCACTTACGGTTCTTCCCCTAATTGCAGGACTGGCTGGCGTACGTGCGTCACCTGCTCCTGCGACCCAAATAATTTAAGGTCCGTCTTACTACACCAACCCTAGGAGAAGCCGCTATGTATCTCTCTCGGTTTAGGGTGTGATGGTTTCCTTCGGGTTGAACTGTTTAAGTTGATCAATAAAAATGTACCGTTGCCTAAAGAATGGAGAAAGAATAGAGAAGAAACTTTGACCGGTGTAAGGAGCAAATGTAGTGGTAGGACGTGTAAAGAACCTCCTTTATCCTACTTAAAGCCACACATCCAGTTATCCAGACCACCTGCACTCAAGTTCCTGCCCTGAGCTTGTGCCTGCCTTGATCATTGCACGACTACCCTGTGTGTTAGGAATCTTGTCGCTGTTGCACAACTCAGCAGCCCATCCACCGGGGACCTTCGGGTCTTCTCCAATGCGGAATAATATATGCACGTAAACATGCATGTATTCCGGCATCATCATTTCCATTCATCTTTCATCACGAGGAGACCCTTCATAATGTTTCCGGGAAAAGTTCCATCTACATTGCAGCGAGACGGCCCTTACACTCCCCAAATGAGGTGGCTGAAACAATCGAGGCTGGTAACTTATTCTAAGGATGTATAACCCTATTAGCGTAAAATATCGCCCGGATACTCTTGAATGCTCTCGGCTTCTCGAGCTTGAGTCCATTCCCTCGCAGCACGAGGTTGTTATTTCTGAATAGCAACTGTGTTCCCGTAATGGACAAGCCCTTTAGTGGCTTGAAGGCCTTTATGAGGCCTCCCCTCAGCCTTCTTCTGACCAAAGAGAATAGGTTAAGTTCTCTTAGCCTGCCGTGGTATTCTGACCCTTCCATCCCTCTGGTCCGCTTAGTGAATCGCCTTTGTACATTCTCTAGGATCACCGAATCCTTCACGAGGGATGGCGACCAGGCTGGCACACAGTACTCTAAGTGCGGCCTCACAAACGCTTTGTAGAGCGAGAGAAGGACTTCCTGGTCACTTGAGGCTTCGGTTCTCAGTAGCTGATGGAACGCTCTGTTTGCCTTTGTCGCAGCTAGCAGACACTGCTTGGCTGGTTTGCAGGTTTTGTGTATTAGCACTCCCAGATCCCTAATCTGCCCTGAATAAGGCATTCCCTGAGGGTTGTCCGGGTCAAGTATCTTGCTATCGGAGGATGGTTGGACTCCATGGAATGGAAGCTTCCTACACTTATTGACATTTAGTGACAGCTCCCATTCCTTCGCTCACTTTTGCAAACAAGCAAGGTCTTGTTGCGTTTGCGCTGAGGCGAGGCCTCTAACTAACTTAACATCATCGGCAAACAGGAAACATGGCCCGATCAGTTTTTTGTGG